CATAAGTAAATAAATCAACTTTATCTGAAACCGCACGTGTCTCCCATACCACTCAGACTCCTGCCACCAATCCCGCCTGTTTTGTGTCGAAACCCTCAGCCCACTGTGACCTTGGGGCCGCTGTTCCCCGACAATGTTCAGTGGCATTGTATCACACTTCTAGCCACATGACGCTACTATGCAGTAGTCATGGGCTATTTCACAGTCAGTGTCTCATGTAGATTTGGTCTAGGCATATTAAAGGAGCACTGAAATGAGGCCAGGGATCAAACAGAACATTTCAACAGTAGAAGTGAGGGGCAACACTCATTGTTCATTAGGGAAAAGAAGTAACAGAAAGATGTTGGAGAAGTTGTAAAGAAAACAGTGAAAAGAAAAGGACGTAAAGGAATAAAAAAAATATACTAAAGTTATGAGTTAAAGGATTAGGGAGGATGAACCTGTCAACAGAAAACAGAAAAATGAGAAATTCATGAAGAAATATAAGGAGTTCAATTTTCAGATATCTTGACTTGTTCTGGCATTAAGACATACAAACATAGAATCATAGAAAATTAGGGTTGGGAGGGACCTCAGGAGGTCATTTAGTCCAACCCCCTGCTCAAAGCAGGACCATCCCCAACTATATCATCCCACCTAAGAATTTGTCTAGCTGGGCCTTAAAAACCTTCAAGGATGGAAATTTCACAACCTTTTTGGGTAACCTGTTCAAATGTTTTACTACCCTCCTGGTGAGAATGCTTCCCTAATAACTAACCTCCTAATAACTGACCTAAACTTCTCTTGCCGCAACTTGAGACCATTGCTCCTTTTTCTGTCATCTGCTGCCACTGAGAACAGTCTATCTCTATCCTCTTTTGAACCTCTCTTCAGATAGTTGAAAGCTGCTATTACATCCTTTGTCACTCTTCTCTTCCCTAGACTAAATAAGTCCAGTTCCCTCAGCTTCTCCTCAGAAGTGATGTGCCCCAGCCCCCTAACCATTTTTGTTGCCTTCTTCTGGACTCTCTCCAGTTTGTTCACATCCTTTCTGCAGTGGGTGGCCCAAAACTGGCCACATTACTCCAGATGTGGCCTAATCAATGCCGAGTAAAAGGGAGTAATCACTTCCCTTGATCTCCTGTTTAGGCTTTTAGCCTTTTTCACAACCAAGTCACACTGTTGGCTCATATTCCCTTTATTGTCCACTGTAACCCCCAGGTCCTTTTCTGCAGAGCTGCAGCTTAGCTTATTGATTCCCAGCCTGTACCAGGCATGCAGTACAGCTATCAGAAAGACAGCTGGGAATGCAAGTCTGAGCAGAGAATGAAAAGTCGAGGTGGGGATGCATTTCTCTGCCCACTAAAAAGTGGTGCAAAGCCATGGGATCAGATAAGGTTGCAGGGGATCTTAAGTAACCAGAACTGAATAAGCAGAATCTCTGTCTTACATCTGTACTTGCTACAGCAAGCAGCTTAGTGCCATTATTTCATTCTAGGCATGGATTTGTTACTGAGTCACAGAAGACTTTGGCACCACTTAAATTACGTATTTCATTCTTTTTATTTATCCTCTTTTTCTTTGTTTTGATGGGGGAGTCTCTTGATTTTATTTTTTCTGCCTCTTTTTTGTTCTTCTAATAATCCGTGTCCTATATTTGTCCCTCTTAACTCTATTTTTTGTGAGAAATGAAGAGACTGTAGCTTGAGGTAGTTGGTAATATACCCTAAACATCATACAGTACCAATTTACCACAACAAAACTTACGAAGACATTGAGGTATGTCTCCCCTCCATACACCTCGTCCTTCACATGATAGAATAGCTGTATTGGACAGCTGATAGCCTTCTGCACAACTGTAACTTATACTGGCACCCCATCGATAATCTGATCCTTCCACTTTTCCATGTAGCACTTGAGGAGGTGAGCCACATGTGACAGCTGTCATCACATAGAAAAGAATCTTAAATACATTTTAAGATTAACAGTAAATGTTCCATTGTGTCTAATTGTAATTTTTAATGAAAAGGGGAAAAAGATGCCATTTATATCCAAGGATCAAACAAGTTGTGACAGAGCAATAAATTAAAAATGGAATATTCAGACACCATTTGTTTTAATTTCCAGTTTATATTAGTTCTCTGTTTTAGGCAATACCTAAGGAGCAAATCCTAAAATCTTTAAACTTGCTTTTATTCACTTAGGCTCCCATTTTTAAAGTCCTCTATGGCCTGAATCACACAACAGCTATTGACTTTAGTAGAAATTATGTAGCTACATTGTTTTTTTAGTCTTTTGTAGTAGGTAACTATGTAGGGCTCATAATAGTTTATTTCCAAAGAGTACTGAAAATTATGGAAATTCAAACAAATTTTGTCTGTTTTTTTTAAAAGGATTTCATTGCTAAATATTGCTTTTTTCAACACACAAAGAAAATATAAAATAATCCAACCACTGCCTTCAACAACGTAATACATAAACACGTCAATCAACTGCATAATCCAAAGTTTAATTAATAAGTTAGACCCTAAATCAGGCCTCTGAATTTATGATTTGTAGCTCTGGTAAATCCATTTCCTCCTGGATTATTCAACCTGCAGGGAATGCCTCTGGGTGTCCAGTTTTCCATTATCCACGGCTGCCTCCTGGGCTACTGTACTACCCAGAATTTCACAATGTCACTAGATTCTGCCTCATTCTCCAGAACCCCCTGATACCACAGCTCATAATGGGGCTTGGAAAGCAGCTTTATAGATGTTTTCCATAGTACCTTTGCCAAGGGAATTCTGTTTCCACCAAAAACTTGATGTTATGTCCCTCAGGCAATTTTAACTAATGCAGCGCACTGAAAAGGTGGGCATGAATCTTGCCTTTGTATTTTTCAGCTACTGCTCTACTAATACTTTTTTACATATAGCTGTAGTTCGAATAAATGGCAATATGCTGGTATTCAGGCTGACCCTTCCCTGCATCTTACAATAAAGCACAAAATATATGGTCTAAAACTTTTATCAACGTGTCTTAGTATATTAATGATTTTCATTTTAATTATGTGAATTCTTCTCTAATATAAATAGTAAAAATATACTACTGGATTCCATACAACTCAGAATAGTAGTTTTACATTACTTAAGTGAAGAAGCAAACCTTTGCAGATTGGTTTACTCTGGTTCCAAGTACTATCTTTTGTACAGCGTATAGTGGATGAACTGGCAGGCTCCATCAAATAGCCAGGGTTACACTGATAGATGACAGTCTTATTAAAGGTAAAATCATTTCCAAATTGAATACCATTTGCTAATGCACCTGGATCTCCACAGCTGATCACTGGTGAAGAAAAAAGAAAAAATATATTCTTTTTCAAAAACCATGAAAACAACATTAAGCATACATAGGCACTGAAATTATACTTTTGCTAGAGTACAAAAGAAGAGGAACTGATCAAGAAGTTTTATATTAAACAGTATAAGATGAAAATGCTTATATTAACAACATATTTTCTATTCAAAAGGACTCAACTATCTTGGATCAAATTCTGCAATAATTTACAACATTATACATATATTAAAATGAAACATTATTGGATTTAATAGAGTTACTGCATTTATAGCAATGTAACTGAGACGGGAATCTTCTTTTTGTTTCCTTATCATAAATTAGATGTTTTTTCCAGAGTCTAATGGTGACGACAAGATATTTAGCAAAATTAATTGGAATCTGACAGGGCTACAACATGAACACTTCTGCTTATATGGTTTAGGAAAGGGGTTTTCAACCTTTTTAAACTAGTGCATCCCTTCTGGTGGCAGCGGCCAGACGCAGGGGAGTGGGGGGATTGGTGTTCACAGGTGGCGGCTGCCACCACACCCACCCACTGCTGCTGCCATGCGCCACTTTTCCACAGCTGGTTGTACATGCGGCTACACAGGTTGCTGACAGGCCTCGCATGCAGTGAATTGTACGCTGCCCATCAGCAGCCCACAGAACTGCACTTGTCACTGGCTGTGGAAAAGTGGTGTGTGGTAGCGGTGGTGGCATGGGGTGGTGGGTGGCGGTGGTGGCTGCATGCGAGCCTCTCCCTCATGTCTGACTGAGCAGGTGGAACCTGTGCATCCCACAGAGGGGTGCCACTGCTCTGCTCGCCACCGGCCCTGCTCCTGGGAGGCAGTGGTGGCTGCTGTGTGTGAGTCCCCTGCCCCACATCCATCCGCACAGGGGTGCATCCTTGCCCTCGGCTTTTGGATGAGGACAGTGGCCCATCGGCCAATCAGGAGAGCAAGCTGGGGTGGGGGGCAGGGAGGCACCATGGTATGCCATGTGGGGCTGGCAGCACTGCCCCACCCCTGGGTAAGAGCCATGTGTTCCCCCTGTGACCTTTCCAAGTACCCCTAGGGGTATGCATACTCCCAGTTGACAACCTCTAGTTAGGTTATGGCTGTCCAAATGGTGATTTGTGAGTCACATTAGGCTCATAAAGGGTTAAATGATGGCCCCCAGGGTCCTGCCCAGCTGCCACTCTTCTTCCATTGCTCTCTCTGCAACAGTAGCCAGTGTCTGGGCTTCTTCTCCCTCCTCTGGCTTTTGCTGCCTTTCCTGCCCCTGTGGACATGGAAGTACTGCACAGTGTTCCCATGAGAAGGTGCTTATGGTGAGCAGGATGTGTGTACATGGTGCAGAGGTAGCCTAGATGGCTGCACAGGGTAGCAGTGGAGAGGTGCCCACATGGTGCAAGTGGGGTGGCTCTTGAATGGTGTGGGGGTGGGGGCTGGCATTGGCAAGGAATGCAGCCTGGGAGCCTGAGGATGACCCTGGTGCAACACATGGTGATGGCTATAAAATAGTACTTAGAGATTTGCTTTCAGTAACTGGCTTGTAGGTATAATAGATATTGCATTAGAACAAAGTCTAGGGGAATGGCAAGGGTCAATTGGTTTCTAAAAGCCTGTTTGTGACAAAGTTTCCTTCAAGGCAGACATAGTGTCTGAGGCCAGTGGATACACAGGCTGGGAAATTGAGGACACGTACCACATTGTTCCATAATATGAGAGAGGCTTGCCATGTTGGCTAGGTCACAGTGACCACCTGCAAGGCCCTTGGGATTTCTGGTTTTGGTGGATGGACCAAATTAGGAAGCCAGGGCATGCCCAGATTAAGACATTGGTAAAAGACCAAATTAAGATGTGTGTATGTGATGGATTTCGGAAACAATGGAATATTCTGACAGAACAACATGGACAGTGTGATGAGCACAGGGAGACCAGTCAATGGTACCTGGGAATGAAGCATCATCATCAGAGGAGAAAAATATGAAAGGAGGGACTCTGAGTGGGGAACCCAAGGCCATCATGAACACAGGGCATACCACCAGCCTATCTTAACCACTCCACTGTGGGGGGTGGGCATCAGCCCTTGACCTCCAGGCTGCTGATATCTGACATTCAAGAAAGAACCAAAGGTTGAAGTTTGTGTGCTGGCAAAAATCAGGAGGGCTATTTTGTTTGCCTTGCCTGCATTGTTCTTATCTGCTATCACTGTGTATCAATAACCTACAATCCAGTTCTCTTAATTAATCAGCATTCTTTTGAATTCTAACCATATCCTCGATGCATTCTATCACTAATAAAATGCCGTACTCAAAACAGACCCCTGTGGTTAAGAACTGAAACAGATTACCTACAGAGGTTGTGGAATTTCTATCTTCGGAAGTTTTTAGGAGTAGTTAGACAGCCACTTTTCTGGAATGATTTAGAAATGCTTCTATCTCAAGTAGGGTGTTGGTCTATGTGACCCCTGAGATCTCTTCTAGCTCTGTCTTGCTAAGTTTCTGTCTCTGATGGCAGTTCTAACTAGCTTACATTTCTCCAATGTATTAATGAGACTTTCTTATGAGACTGTCATTTTCTGGGAGCATGGAAGGCTATGTAAAAATGAGCATGTGGGAGACTGATACTTATATCTTGTGGACATAAGGCAACTAACATAATCCTTAACTTGAAGGTAAGGGACAAAGTTGTATAACAATTTCAAGTCCACAACTAGGAATAAAAGTTCTCACTGTGTTCTATAATTAGTCTATGACCATGAGATTAATAAGTGACTGAACCTCATGTTTTAACCATTTCACATGAAAAGAATCCTTAAAAGGCATGGGAAAGTTGTTTGAAGATGATCTGCTTGTATGTGATACTACATTTTTTATAACCACTAGAACTCGATTGTCTACGGCAATGATTCTCAAACTTTCTGCCCCTCAAGAGTCTTAAGGCACATCTCAATAATCTCAAGGCATCCCTTGGAAAATGCCAACTCTTAGTTTTCACTCTTTTTTTGACTACAGAAAAATCATAGAGCAATTCTTCTGTTCCAAAAGAACTCAGAAAGACCACCACAAGTCAGAGACTTGGGTTTATCTTGTGAATCATGTTTGCATGCCTAATAATTCTAATATTGTGTGACACCCTGCCACACCCTTGAAAGGATTTCAAGACACCCACAGTGCCTCAGCACCCTTGTTGAGAATCACAGGTCTATAATGATACGTTTCTTGGCTTCTCAGAATATAAAAAGCAGTTCTTTCAGGATGCATCTATGCATGCAATTAGAGCAAAGAAATAAACTCTAGCACAGTTTACCCCAGAGTTTCTTGATCCTGGGTGGAGCATTTACACATGCACTTGGGATTGCAGCATGCTGAGCTGGAATGGAGCAGCCATGAGCTACCAGGAGATTTGGGGGTGTGGGCAGCCCTGGGCTCCAGGTCACAGCATCAGGTGGTGCTGGGGCTGGCTGGGACCCAAGGGTGCTACAATAAGGGACTAGCCATCAGGCAGCCCCAGCCAGTCCTGGTCACAATCTACATGTGCATTGTGGCAGTGTAATTTACTCCACCATTGGGTAGGACTTGTCCTGTACGGTACAGGCGAAGGTAGAGTTAATTAATTTACTGCATCCTAATATAAGCACATATGTAGATGGTGACAGGTTACTGCCAAGCTAATAAGTCAACTTCACAGTCAGTTGCATGTGTAGATACACCCTTTGGCCACATCCGTACTAGCACAGATATTTGTTTCCCCATGGACAAGAAGCAGTGACTTACTTTCTGACACTGCTTCTTGTCCTCGAGGAACGCCTGTGCTACATGACCTCTGGTGCTCAACAGATTACTCAGGGTGGGGTAGTTGAGGCCAGGGCCAACAATTGTGCTGGCCCCAGCAGCTTTATCTGGGGACCTGGAGCCTTGGGGAGCTGCAGCCGGATTGCAACTGGGAGGCTGGCTGCCAGCTGAAGCATGGCTCCAGCAGGCCAGGCTCCAGTTTCAGGCAATGCATCCTGCTACCACGTGTGCCACCCTATTTTTTTTCCGTGTGGGTTTTTTTTACCTGGGGATTTCCCAGGGTCAAAACTCCACCTTGTGCTGCAAGGTAGGAGTACGGAAAACACCTGAATGTGCAGTGGGTGGTGCCAAAGACAGGTCTGCAGTGCCACATATCTCACAGCCCCGCTCATCTGGACATGACCTTTGAGGCTGAATAGGAAAATGAATATTCTTACAGACTTAGGCAAGACCATATGTCTGATCTACCTGGTACCAAGGAAACATGTAGGGCTGTAATGGTATTCATTGGTTGTCAGTGGTAGTCTCCCCATAAAGCAGAGAAACGGTGGTTTAAAGAGAATTGACACTGTAGGTCACTTGGAATTTTTTGAATTTGAATGGGTGGTATTCAAAGAATATTAAAGAAGGCTGTCAAAACTGGTTGGACTGTGAGGGAGGAGAAAGGTGTCTTTGAGATTCTCAAAGGTGAGGAGACATATAAAGTTCAACCTGAGATAGAATAATGAGAGGTGCCAGCAAGACTTACAGAGATCTTCAGACCTTTAGGAGATCTCTGACTTTTCTTACTAGGACCCGGTGACTATGCTCCTCAGAAGAATCAAGTTTCTTCTGTTTCTAAAGGCAGCTGTTTTGCCTATCTGCAAGGTTGTCTCCTTAAGGCATGAATACATAAAAAAGTTATCATAATAAAAGGGGTGCAGAGTTTTGCAGTATATTCACTGTAATAACCCACGAGTGACTGGTGCCTCCTGAATCGGGGGGGGGGGGCACCCACAGAAGCCGCTGAT